GCACGTCAGCCCCAGTCCTGTCCTGGCCCCTGGGCTCAGGAAACTGCTGCCACCACTGCCCGGGACATCCAGGCCTTCCACCCTCCTCCCAGGCCTCCACCCATCTGATCGGCTGGCCAACTGGCCGCCATGCGCCTGCCCTGGGCCACCTCCCACTGCGGCCTGGCCTGGGGGCCACTCATCCTGGGCCTCGGCGGTCTCCTGGCAGTATCCCAGCCCCCGCTGGTGAGGGAGGGGCCTGTGCAGGTGGGTGGAGGCGGGCTTGGCTAGGGGAGAGGGGTCTGGGCAGCCCTCTCTGTCGTCCCTCTGCCCTTCTCAGCTGACCCCTGACTAATTCTACCCCCACTCCGTCTCCCCTTTAAGGTGCCCCCATACCGCACGGAGAACAAGACCTGCCAGGACCAGGAAAAGCAGTACTACGAGTCCAAGCATCAGGTCTGCTGCTCCCGCTGCCCCCCAGGTGAGAGGCCGGGGACAGAGAGGTGGGTTACAGGGGGCTCCAGCCCATCTCACTGCCTCAGAATGGAGGCAGACACCGGCTCCCAGGAGAGACAGCTGGCGGACTTAGAGCGAGCAACTCTGGCCGTCCCTCCTATGTAGTCCGGAGGAACAGGCCCAGGGTCACACAGCAAGCGGCAGAGGTGCCGGCGGAACCCCAGGCCCCCGACACTCCTGCTGCCCCGCTCACATCCTAGGCACGCACGTCTCAGCTGAATGTAGCCACGGCCAGGACACGGTTTGTGCCACGTGCCCCGAAAACTCCTACAACGAGCACTGGAACCATCTCTCCTTCTGCCAGCTGTGCCGCCCCTGTGACCAGAGTGAGTGGGGTGTGCCGGGGTTGGGGCTGGGATCTCCTGGAGCGCACCCCTCCGCTGAGCCCTCCATCTCCCCGCCAGTGCTGGGCTTCGTGGAGATCACGCCTTGCACTAGCAAAGACAAAACCCGCTGCCGCTGCCGGCCAGGAATGTTCTGCGTCTTTTGGGACTCTGAGTGTGTACACTGCGAGCCACTCTCTGACTGCCCACCTGGCACCGAAGCTGAGCTCAGAGGTCAGAGGTCACCGGGGCAGAGGGCGAGGAGGAGGATGGGTGGGTGATCTTGAACAGCGGGCAGGCATAGTGCTGGGTCCACGGGGAGCCCCCAGGCAGTTAGTTCTCTGTGGTATAAAACGCCTCTTCTCCCTCTCTGGGAAAGGCCCACAGAAGGGACCTGCAGGGACCTGGAACTGGGGTGGTGCAGGGCTCAGGGGTCCTTCCAGCCCTGGGAAAGCCAGGACAAAGTACAGATCAGGAACAGTGTAAGCTACAGAGTGGGGTGGGTGGGTGGGGAGGGGGCCACCCAGTGGGCATAAAGGAAGCTCACAGCTGGGCTCCCTTTGCCTGCTCACCCTGGCTGGCCATGCCTTTCTCTTGCCAGACGAAGCCTGGGAGGCTAACAGCAACTGTGTTCCCTGTAAGGCAGGGCACTTCCAGAACACCTCCTCCCCCAGCGCCCGCTGCCAGCCCCACACCAGGTGAGTGTGCCCCATCCATATGCCTCCCACCCTCCCAGCCCCAGCTGCTGACAATCCTGCCCCACACTCAACTCCACGGGACCGCCTCCCACTTCCAGCCCGGAGCCCACTTGAGCTGGGTGCTTTCCTTCACAGGTGTGAGGACCAGGGCCTGGTGGAGGCAGCGCCAGGCACTGCCCAGTCTGACACCAGCTGCAGAAATCCATCAGAGACCCCCGAGATGCCAGGTGAGGGGCCAGGGACGCGGGGACGGGGAAGATGCCCTAATTCCAACCATCTAAACAGATGGGGAAAAGAAAGTCCTTTCCTGTCAGAATTGAGGCGAGAAGAAAAGTTCCTCAAAGAGAAATTGGAGTATTTCTACTTACACACATTTTTGAAGTTACATATTATATATAAAACTTGTAAGTTATAAATAGTATCGTGGCCACGCTGAGATATAATTGTAACTGCTGTCACTGTAGTGGTGTTGGACACTCCACCTGCTGCACAATCCGTTTACTGGCCTGATTCCTCTGCATTAGATCACATACTTTCATCATTGGAGAGAGAATTCCACGTTTGACTCTTCCTTGATCTTTCCTGTGGAACTACTGGTTTCCTCGCCTCATAGAGGATCACAAGATGTTTCTAATGACCATAGTTGTTATTAATCAAGGGGGAGTTTATTTCATTGACTTTACTAAAATGACCATATATTTATAATCATAGCTTCCATTTATTGAGAGCTAGTGTGTCAGGCCCTCTGTGAACACTTGATTTTCACTAACTCATTTAACCCTCTTAATGATCCTATGAAATAGTCATATTATTATCCTGACTGGATGAGGAAACTGAGGCCCAGAGGGGTTGGTTAAGTGTCTTGCCCAAGATCACCCACGTGGTAATTGGTATTATGAAGACCTGTTCTAGGTCTTTCTTCCTCCCAAGCACGTGCCGTAATACATGCACACTGCAGAAAATTAGAAAATGCCAATAAACAAAGCTAAACATCACCACAGAACCGGCACCTAGCAAGCAAAGCCGCTCAACATTTTTGAATATATCCTCCCAGACATTTTTCTATGCACTGGAAAAAAATATATATTTTTTTAAAAGTAGAGTCGTTTGAATGTTTGTAACTTAATTTTTCATCCAACTCTATCATAGATTTTCCACATCCTCTTAGTAATTTTTAACTGTGTATCAAAGACGATGGGCAGCTTAGAGCTGGAATTTTAGAGTATGTAAGCTGATCTCCTCTTTTTATCTATGAAAATTCTGGTGATCAAAGGGGTGAAATGACTTAAAAATTCACATAACTGGGTAGGAACCCAGGTATCCAAGACTCTAGGTGTAGTTTTTCCCCGTGTCACCCCTTCTGCATTCCGTTAGGCTGCAGAATTGAGTGGACCAGAAGGAGCAAACTCCTGGTATGTAAGTGTCCAAGTCCTCCTGACCGTCCTCAGGCATAGAGGACACAGGTGACAGGCATGGCAGTCTCCGTGGTGTCCGTGGCCTCGCCGAGGCCCGTAGGACGTTGGCAGTTACCCACTGCTGCATGGTCCAACACCTAGCCTCCTGCTCCCGCACCTCCCGGCGCCGGCCAGGAGGGCCAGCAGGTGGAGACCTTGCAGCCCTGCTCTCCTTCCAGGCAGCCACAGGCAGAGTCCAGAAGCCAGAACTCCAGCTCCCTCACCTCTATAAACACTCCACAACTACAGAGGGGCAACCCCAGCTCCCACAGCCACGAGTCTTTATATAGGATGGTCACATCCACAGAAATGTGGATCTACCCTGTGGCCTGAGACTGCTTGCAACCTCAAGCCCCACCCTCCCTGACTGCCTCCCACCCCCAATTCCAACTGTCCAAGCGCCTGTCCTCACCTGCAAGACTGCCCCCATGCTGGTCCCCAGGCAGGTGGCCACCTGCACCAGCCCCAAACATCTCCATCTGGCGGAGTTTCTCCTGGCTGTCAGGAGTTCCTCCCCCTTCTCTGAAACCCAAGGGAAGTTTCTCCAATTCTACCTTTAGGAACTGCAGTGGGGCTGGGAGGGGAAAGCTGGTCCCCCTTTTCTCTGGGTGGCCTGGGAAATGGAGAGCTGCTCCTTAACTCCCTTGCCCTGTGCCCTCCTGGGGTCGTCATGCCTCACTCTGCTGTCCTGGCAGGAGCCATGCTGGTGCTGACCATCCTGCTGCCCCTCATCTCCTTGCTGCTCCTCATCACCGTGCTGGCCTGCACCTGGAAGAGCCACCCCTCCCTCTGCAGAAAGCTGGGTAAGGAGCCAGATGCAGACCTGGCATCTCTGTCCACCTGGATGGCAGAGGGGGGCCGGAGGGAGTATCCAGCACCCCCCTACCCGTAAGATGCCCAACGCCTGCTCCCCACTAGACATCACCTCCCTCAGCCCCTCTTCTGAGGCTGCACAGAAGGGTCATGATAGCCTGTTTCTTCTGGGAGCCCAGGGAGGGCAGCAGCACATGGTGGGGGGTGTGGAGGAGGAGAGCCTGGGGGTCTGAGGCCTGCCATTTCATTTTCTGTTGCAGGATCCCTGCTCAAGAGACACCCCGAGGTAATGGGGAAGGCTGCGGGGGCAGCAAGTGGGGACAGGGGGATGGTGAACAAGGTGGGGGCAGGCAGAATAAGGGTGCAGCATCAGTGTCCAGCCATTCATTCAATTAAGAATTTATCAAGCATACCATGTACCTGGCCCTGTTCGAGGCACTGTGGAAATAGCAGTAAGCGAAACAAAATACCTACCAGTGGAGCAAAAACAGTTAAACAACCACGTATTAGGAGATGATAATTGCTAAACAAAGCATGATAGTGGGAGAGTGAGTGACACTGGCAGAGCATGGGGGTATATAATCTTAGAGTGAACAGAGAGGGTCTCTCTGATCAGCAGATATTTGAGCAGAAAAATTGAAAGAAAAAAAAAGAGGGAGCCAGCCTTCGGGATACCTAGGAGAAAGTGCTCCAGGAAGAGGAAACACATGCAAAGGCCCTGAGGCAGGGAGTGCGATGAGGAGCAGAGTAGGGGGCTGAGTGGCCTAAGCATGGGGTGGGGTGTGGGAATTAAAAAAAGATGAGGTCTGAGGCCCATGTCATTGGTTAGTTCTCGGCCTCTGTCCTGCAGGGAGAGGAATCAAATACTGCCGGTGGAAGCTGGGAGCCCCCGAGGGTCAACCCATATGTCCCTGACCTGGTAGAGCCACTTCTGTCCACCTCTGGAGAACTGACCCCGGCCTCAGCTGGGCTCCCACCGAACCCAGGTTTGGAGGAAGAAGTGCTACAACAGCAGAGTCCTCTGAGCCAGGCCAGGGAGCTGGAGGCTGAGATCCCAGAGCAAGGCCAGGTGGCCCACGGTGAGCTTGAGGCCGGCACAGGGACAAGAGGGGGTGGGCAGGGCCAGGGTGGGAGGGAAGGTGGGCAGAGAGAGTGTGTGAGCCAGACGGAGATGAGGAGACTAAAACGGGGTCAAGGGGAGACTTAGACATCTAGCCAGAGTGTCCTGACTAGAGAGAAGTGGGGAAGAGACGGAAAACCCAGAAGCAGAGGAAGGAGTGCAGAGATCAAGCAACCACAGCAGACGGAGGGGGACAGCGGAAAGGGGAGATAGCCGAGGGCACTGGAGAAGCGGGGTCCGGTGCTGGGAGCACACAGGCCTTCCTTCCTCAGCAGTGCCCCCTCGCCCCCTCACTCTGCCTCCCTTCCCACAGGTACCAATGGCATTCACGTCACTGGCGGGTCTGTGACGGTCACCGGCAACATCTACATCTATAACGGGCCGGTCCTGGGGGGAGCACGGGGCCCCGGAGACCCCCCAGCTCCCCCGGAGCCTCCCTACCCCATCCCTGAAGAGGGTGCCCCTGGCCCCCCTGGGCTCTCGACGCCCTACCAGGAGGATGGCAAAGCATGGCACCTGGCCGAGACGGAGACACGGGGCTGCCACGCCTTCTGACAGCGCCAAGGACCCAATTTGTCACCCGCGCCTGACGGAGTCTGGGAGAAGCCAGGAGAAGGGAGGCTGCCCTACCCACACAGGACTGACAGAGGGCCTGGGTAGGGGCCCCGAGAGGTGGACCCTGAGGGGCTGGGCCTCAGACATGTCCCTGAGAGCAGGGCTGGCACTGGCTGGGTACCGTGCCCGTCGCAGGACTCACCTCCGCCTGAGCAGGCCTGAGACTCCGCAGCAGAACCCTGCCCCCTGGGGCAGTACCAGCTCGGCTTCAGGCCCGGCCAGGGCACGCGACGCTAACAGCTGCCCCACTGGCATCCACACCCCGAGCATGGCACGGAAGGGAGCCAGCCACGTGGTCACTGCAAGGACATCACCGGGACCGCTGGCAGATTCATGGTGCTCATGCCCAAGCTTCAGAGGCCCTTCGTGGGCCCACACTTCGCACGGACCAAAGTGGACCCTACATGAGGCTGGAGTGACTCAGAGGACCACACTCCCCTCCCTTCCTAGACAGGAGAGAGGCTGTGACCTCCCTATAACCGGGGGTTGGGGTGGGGTTCTAGGTATAGGGGAAAGTTTTGGAGGAGGAGGGACGTGGCGAGTGTATTTATAAATTGTAACCACATGCAAATAAAGAAGAGATTGATCATTTATCTCCTTGGGATTTATAGAGAAAGGCTGTTCCCTAATTCCACGAGGCATTTCTATGAGGGGCTGGTACATGGAATTCGTGTGATGACAGTTTGGCCAGTGATCGCATACAGTGTGGCAGGCAGAGCTCTCAATGCTGTACAAGCTCATCCTATGCAACCCTCACAAGACCCCGAGGAGGCAGCTACAATGATGATTCCCATCTAACAAGTGGGGAGACAGGCCCAGGGAGGGAGTCACCTGCCCAGTTCAACTGCAAATGGCACAGTGGGGACGTGCACCCATGAGGCTCTCTTGGGTAAAAACTTCGCAACCGCACCCTTACAGAACTTCTTGGAACAGGTAAAATGGGCTGTTTTCCTCAAATAATCAGACTTTTCTGCAAATCCTGTAGGCATTAAGTCTCAGCCAATTCTCAAACCCCCAGACTCAAGGCTAAGTGCAAAAGTGTTTGGCAAAAGCTGGATGAAGGGAAAGGTATATGCTTTAGACACAAAGTGAGAGGCGAGGTTCACATTCTGCCGGTGAAGAAATCGTGGCCGACGTGACTTTTACTTTATTTCTTCTTGTCTTGCAGGCATATCTTGCTTTATTGTGTCTCACTTTATTGCATTTTTTTACAAATTGAAGCAACCCTGCATTATTGATGATGGTTAGCATTTTTTTTAAAGCAAGTACACTGAATTTTTTTTAATTTAAATTTTATTGTATTATTATTTTTTTTAATGGAGGTACTGGGGATTGAACCCATGACCTCATGCATGCTAGGCATATGCTGTACCACTGAGCTATACCCTCCCCACAATGGTTAGCATTTTTTAGCAATAAAGTAGTTTTAAATTAAGTCATGTGCATTAGTTTTTAGACATAATGCTACTGCACACTTAACAGATTACAGTCTAGTGTACACATAACTCTTATATGCCCCGGGAAACCAAAAGATTCATATGACTGGCTTTATCGCAGTGGTCAGGGACTAAACCTGCAATATCTCCGAGTATGCCTCTATTTTCTTTTTTCCCGAAAAGAACTTTAAATCTTCTCAGCTCTCTTATTGTTTGGGAATGTTTGGGCCGCCAGGATTTATCTACCATTCTGTCCAGTAGAGACGATCCTAGCTTGAAGGATTGGGAGGGGAGCTGCCGCCGGCCGACCGCTCCTTCCATAAAAGGCCACCGTCTGGGTCTAGTGTTATGATTCCGATTCTGTTGCTGGGGCTTCTCAAGGTGCAGAGGCTACACAGCACACACTCCAGGAGTCGTCTGATCCAGCTGAGTGGCTGGGTTATTTAAGGTCGACCTTGAAAGTATTCGAATCCCACTTCCTTTTTTGAGAAGTAAATAATATGAGCTGTATCTTTAGATGCAGAGTTAAATCCTCCTGCTCTTGCTGTCTGCTAGAACCAGACAACGGGATTCCTTATTCACTGCACCAATGTGTTTTGATAAAAAAAAAAAACCCAACCCAATTTTATAAAAATTTTTTCCCAACAAAATTAAGGGAGGAAATAATTTTTGAAGAAACGGTGCTAAGGCACAGCCCCATGTGACATCATTCAAATTTAGAAATCTACATCCCTGTATTAATTTGCTAGGGTGGCCATGACCCAGGACTGCAGGCAGGGTGGTGTAAACAACAGGTAATTATTTTCTCACAGTTCTGGAGGCTCAAAGTCTGAGATCGAGGTGTCGGCAGGGTTGGTTTCTTCTGAGGCCTCTCTCCTTGACCTGCCAGTGGCTGTCTTCTCCCTGTGTCCTCATGTAGTCTTTCCTCTGTGTGTGTCTGTGTCCTCATCTCTTTTTACAAGGACACCAGTCATACTGGATTAGGGCCAACTCTAAGGACCTCACTTTAGTTATCTCTTTGAAGACCACATCTCCAAATATAGCCGTGGTCTGAGGTACTGAGGGTTGTGACTTCGACAAATGAGTTCACGTTCAGTCCATAACATTGCCCGTCTTCCTCACATCACCAGTGCTGAGTTAATACAGGCTCCAACACACACGAACAGAACACACTTCATACAGAGAGGAGCTCCTGTCTACAATGAAAGTGGGTAGAAAACCAATGAAGACAGCCTCCTGATTGTTATCTTCAAAAGTTAGAACTGGATACAGTGGTAGGTACTAGTGAATCCAGCTAGTCCCGTATTATTTTTGAGAACTCCACTCCTATACCACATGGAGGAGAAAGCCAATCCTGAATCCAGCCCACGTCAACATGGGCAGGGAGGCCAGGGGGAGGCTAAGGCAGAGACAGACGGATGTAGCTGAGTGTAGAGTGTAGCAGTGGGAGGTGTGGGTATGCAGTTCTAAGTAATTAACAATTTCTCTTTTCAGAAGATGGAGCTATTCACATGGACAGCTGAGTGGACTCTTTCTGCTACCTACCCAACAGACTTCTGCAACTTTCCTAGGAACAGACTCCTATTTCTGTACTAGGGCAGAGATTCCATGATACCAGGAGAGAGGGGCCTTTCTCCCAATTCCAGGGGCCAGTAAACCCATTTCCCTCTGCTAGGAATTGGTTCAGGATAAGCATGGGATCCATTCTGGCCAACGACATGTGCAGGGAAGTCTTCCTTTCCAGGACAAAAAGCATCATTAGGAGAAAGTTTTTGGCTTTCCTTGTCCCTTTTTTCTTGAGTAGGGGATGTTTGAGAGGACACGATTCCTGAGCTCTGGCAGCCATCTTGCTATCATGAGGAAAAGACATGGAGCTAAAAAGCTAGTTCTCTGAGATGGAAGTCCTAGAAGAAAAGTAAAAACCTAGTTTGTGAGACATCATTGAGCAGCTGAACCAACAGTCAGTGAGCACCTACTTCTGGGCTTCTTTTTGTGAGAGAAAAAACAAGCCACCATTTGTGTCAATCACAGTAAGTCAGGTTTTCCTTTTTTTTTTTTTTTAAGTTTTAACTTTATTTATTTCCTCTTTTGGGGTAGGTAATTTATTCACATAGCTCAAAATTCTAAAAGTATCTGAGAGTAAATGGTGAAATGTCTCTTTCACTCTGATCCATCAACCATCAAGGTCCCTTCCCTGGAAGCAACCAATGTTATTGTTTCTGACCCTTTTCCAGAGGTGATTTACGCACATTCAAGCAAATATATATACATATATTCCTTTCCTCCTTTTTTCTGCAAGTGGTAGCATATTCTTTGTATATTTCCTCCTTGCCTTCATCATTTATCTAAATGGCTTGGCCATAATGTCATATTGTTGTCAAAACGTCCTCGTTAATTTTTATATCTGTAAGAAGTAGCCCATTGTATGGCTGCATCATTTAGCTAGATCCCTTTGAGGATTTTTAATTAATTACTGGCCTTTACTATTAAAAACAATTCTACAACAATAACCTATGTTGTTTTGTACATGTGGGAGTATTGCTGTCATCAATTTGCTAGAAATAAAATTGGAGGTCAAAAGGTACATATATTTTATTTTGATAAATATTACCAAATTGCCCTTGATAGAGATGAAAATCAGCACTTTTTAAGTGTCCCTTCTCATATACAAACACCAACCTTGGTCTGCTAACAAACATTTTAATCTTTGCCAATTTGAAAGGCAAAAAGTGGTATCTCAGTGTAATTTTTATTTGCATTTTTTATTGAAGTTTTTCATTTCATTGTGACTGAACATTTTCATATGTTAAAGAATCATTTGTAATTTGCTTTCCACTAACTGTTCATCTCTTTTACAATTTTTCTATTGGACAATTATCAAATGTTATCTTGTTATTCCAGAAATCATCTATTGAACAATGATTTTTTTTTCTTCACTAATTTGAAACACTACCATTATCATAAACTGAATTTGTGTACGAATTTGAATTTACTTCTGGATTTCCAATTCTCTTTCTTTGATTTGTCTTTTTAATTTGCTAATACCACTGTCTTTCAATTATTTTAGCTTTATATGTTAATCTCTACTAGGGCTCCTTTTAACCTTCCTTTTTCAAACATTTTCCTAACCATATTTTCTTATTTCTTTTTCCACATAAACTTGCAGATCAGTTTGTCTAGTATTCCAAACCAAAACCAAAACCAAAACCTCCTATTGTATATGTTTTGAGATTGTATCAAATTTATAGATCAGTTTGGAAGAATTAACACCTTCCTGGTATTAGTCCTTCTTTCAAGAACATGGTGTACCTTTCTATTTGTTGGTTCCCTCTGTGTCCCTCAGTAGTATTTTAATGTTTAATGCTTTTTTTTTTTTAAATATAGACCTTGAGTATTTCTTGTTAAGTTCATTTCTAGGTGTTTTATCTTTACGAATGGGATTTTTCTTTTTTTTTTTTTAACCCATTCACCTACTGAATTCTCTTATCATCTATAATAGTTATTCAGTCGATTCTCTTAGATATAAATATGAAATTAACCTCTGCTATCTAATTTTTATAATTCTAATATATCTTAATCTGTCTAAAAGCATTGCCTAAGACCTCCAGAAGAACATTAAGTAGTAATGACATCACTGTCTTGATCCTAACTTTAATGGAAATATTTTCAGTACCCTTATTAAGCAGGAGTAGCGATAGATATATTTATTTTATTATGCTAAGGAAATACCCATCTCCTACCATTTCATTGAGTTCTTAAATTAACAATGGATATTGAATTTTTATGAGATGGAAACAAATGTCTTTTAAGCATCTGCAGAGATAATTACACTACTTTTCGCCTTAAATCCGTCAGTCTGATGTATTACATAAATCAGTTTCCTAATACTAAACTATCTTTACCTTTCTGGAGTAAACCACACCTGGTCTTGCTGTATTCTTTTTTTAATGTATCTCTGAGATTCTGTTTGCTAACATTTAGTTTCAGATTTTCATAAGTGAGCTTGGTCTACACTATTGGTCTGTCTTATCGTCCTCATAGCTGAAGGCATTTCTGATATAGCAATCCATCCTAAAGGAATTATACCTTAGAGTTAATTTACTTTAATATCTAGGAATGTCAACCTCTCCCCTGCCCCAATCCATTGTTAACTCAAC